TACTAATGCGAAGGTAAATTTTGATTGGATTAGCCCAATTTTCTTCATTCATAATGATTGGCATGATGAGAAGTTAGAACTCCTAAATATGATGAAGCAAGCAGAGTAAAAGAAATTAGGCCGAGAAATTAGTTGGAAAGCATAACCTAACTTAATGTTGTGATACCATGTAGAAAATAGGAGAATGGCAAAAATGTGCTTGCATTTTGATACATTTAAAATATATCTTTACAAAGCTGCTTATTATTAGAAGTTATACTAGTAAATAATTTATTTCTTTAAAAAATTTCCTATTTTGAATTTATTTTCTTGGATTAGATTTATTTTCTTTCTCATGTTAGGCTTTTCTATTTTATGTTGTTTTCTTTTCCGCCAAATAATTAATATGATATGATTAATTGGAGATATATGTGTTATATCTTTCATTTCTTGTTATTTCCCTTTTCTTGTCTTTCCCATTCTAGAATTCATGTAAGAGTTATTTATAACTCTTTTTCATATCAATAATATAATTTTCGTTGAATTTTGAAAATCAACATGGTATCTGAGCTAGGTCTCCGACCCTAGTCACATGGCCGCCAGACTCCCTTTCTGCCATCCTCCTTGCAGGAAGGGAGTGACTCTTAGCCGGACCTTCTCTGGGCAGCCATTAGAATCAGAGACATCCATAGATTCTCCCTGCATCCGACAAGAACTAGTTGTCAGAGTTGATTGCTGTTGCCGACAATACCTATAGCTTTTGCTGCGCCTCATTTTTTTCTTTGTGCAGACAATTAACCATTTGCCGTAGTCGATTTTTGCAGCTGACAATACCTCAGCATTTGCTGCGCCTCATTTTTTTCTCTACGTAGGCGTCCGATTCACTGTGAAATTGCAATTTCAGTTGTTTTCCCTGCGCAGGCATTCGGGTAGCTGCAGGCTTGCATTTTTAGCCGACTGTGTGCCTTATTTTCTCTTTCTAGTGGAATCTTGTTCCGTCGGTGGAATTTGTTTTTCTTTCGAGTGCAAATCTCAGAATATCTCCGGTTAAAATCCTGATTTTTCACACCCTGGTTCAAAACATTGTCCCTTGCAGAACCGCAGAGGGAAGAAGCCATTTTCCCCGCTGACTTCCTTGTAGTCTCTCCTCGGCGGGATCTTCCAGCTACCGGACCTCCCGATCTCCTTCTAGAACCGCGGTAGGAGCTAACAACAACTGGACCTATCCCTGTAGGCTTTCCCATCGATGGAACCTCCTCTTGCAGCCTTTTCTGCTGTTAGAACGTTCTGCGGACATACGTTCTGCTGATTGGACTTCTTACCATGAACTCCGGACCTATTTCTGTAGCTCGTTTTCTCCCTTGCAGTCTTTTCGACCGCTGGACCTCCCTCCTGTAGCTTTTACCACCGTCGGATCTACCTCTATAGATTTTCCCTTTGATATTTCAGGCAGCTGAACCTCTTGTTTGCAGGTCCCTAACTGTTGAAAATCTTCTCTGCCGGCTGGAAAACTACCCTTCAAACCTTAGCAACACCTTCATTTTGGTCGCAAATTCTTGCCAGCCCCAAATTTCTGTCGGCTACACATTCCTGCAGCCACCTCTGTGGTGTCCTCCGCCAATTCACATGCATTGATTGTGGAAACGAAGAGAAGCTTGTTACTGGGAGTTCATCTTTGGTTTGCTTTCAAAACGACTTGAGAAAAGTTATTACAGAGGCGAGATTGGATGTATCCTCGAATGGAATCATAGCAACAAACTACATGCTCTTCTCCGTCGGTTTCTTCTCTTCTATTGAAAAACTCCATGCAAGTTCTTCCTTTGCCACTGAAACTCTCTCTGCAGCCAGAAGTATCCTGTCTCATGCCCTCCTTGCTGCAAAGCCTCTTCCTCTCTGAGTTTTTTCTGCAACAGGCCCTTCTCCGGTGCTTGCTCCTACATGAGGCCCTCCTCCGGAATCTTTCCTATAGCAGACCCTTCTTCGGAGCTTTTCTTGCAGCAGACCCTTTGGAGCTTTTTCCTGCATTAGACCCCTCATAATCCTTCTTGCAGCAGCCTTTCTTTCGGAGCTTTTCTTGCAGTAGACCCTCCGAAGCTTTTTCTGCAGTAGGCCCTTTGGAGTTTTTTCCTGAATCAGGTCATCCTCTGGAATCTTTCATGCAACAAACTCTTATTTGAAACTTTTCTTATAGTAGGCCCTCATTCGGAGTTTTTTCTTGTGTCAGGCCTTTTCCATAATCTTTCCAGCCACAGACCATCATCTGAAGTTTTTTTTCTTTTTTTTTCTTTTGTTGGCCATACCCTGCAGTTTCCAGCAGGTTGTCTACTTTCTTGCTAATTTTTCTACAACATTACCTGGAGAAGTCTTCTGTCTACCTACAAACAGTACAGAAATTGTAGCCAAAGACAACCGCTGTCAACTAGAAGTAAGCCTATCCTGAGGCTGTCTATTTTACTACAAACTTCCCTACAATATTGCCTGAAGGAGCCTTTCGACTACCTACGAACACTACAAAAACTACAGTAAAAAACAACTACAATCAATTAATAATATCCCTAAATGCTCTTGGGGTCGACTAACAAGCAAGAAATGAATACTTCAAGTTTTATCTGGCAAAGGGTATTCTTTGCCCATTGTTTGATGTTTCTTGATGAAAGTTGAACATAATTTTCAACCATGTTTCAATTTGAGGGGGATTGTTAGAAGTTATATTAGAAAATAATTTTTTTCCCGTTAGAAGTTTACTATTTTGGATTTATTTTCTCAGATTGCATTTATTTCCTTTCTTATGTTTTGCTTTCCTATTTTATGCTGTTTTCTTTATCTTCAAATAATTAATATCAATTGATTAATTGGAGGTATATGTGTTATCTTTCTTTTCCTGTTATTTTATTTTTCTTGTTTTTCGTATTTTAGGATTCATGTCATTATCAATAGAATAATTTTCGCTGAATTTTGAAAATCAACAATTATACATCTTGAAGATAAGTAATAATTACAATTAAAAATCTCTCGCATCTTGAATCCATGTGCCTTTAAGTTTCTAATTTTCGCATGCTTACATAGCTACATGTTTTTTTTTTACTGTTTTGTTGTCTGCCAATCTCAACTTATTGGACTGTTAATGATATTTTCCATCTTTTGCATGCGATCATCCATAAATTCTTCTTTAACTCGATTCCACAATGGCCCCTTTGCTTTCTTTGTCCACTTCCTTCGCTTCTCGTAACCTTTCTATTTTGGGGCAACCAATCATCCTGCATTCTCTAACAGATTATTATTAGGGGTGATTTATGTACATATTAAACAAACTTCATTATTTTCTGACATAACTCCCCAAACCCAAAATAAATTTAGAAATAACATACTCCTAAGGCTCTATGTTACCATTCTGTCTCCTACCTACGCTCATTGACTCCGGCCAAACTGCTATCGTGGCGGCTCTTCCTCCTTTTCTCCTTCCTCCTTCCTCCTTCTTTTCTCCTTTCTCCTTTTTCTTTCTTCCTTCTCCCTCATTTTTCTTCTGTCTTCTTCCCCGACCTCCTTTTTCTTTTTCTCCACCCTTCTCTTTTTTTTTTGCCATCAAGCTAACACTTTTTCTTCTCTATTTTCTTCCTCTCTTTCTCTCTCTTCCCGTTTTTCTTTCTAACACATTTTCCTTCTTCTACCCATAGCTGCTTCTCTTTCTTCTCCTTTTTTTTCATCCAATTAGGGGTGTAAATGAGTTGAACACGAGCGAGCCTGGGCTCAGCTCGTGTTCGGTTCGTTTATATTTCGAACAAAAAAATCTGTTCGTGTTTAACTCATTTGCTTATCGATCTGAACATAAGTTTTTCGCAAACAAAAACCAATTTAATAACCCTAGTCATGCATGCAACCATTAAAGGTGTAAACGAGCCGAGCTTGAGCAAGTCCAGACTCGGCTTGTTAAAAATTATCACTGTTCGTGTTCGACTCGTTTGAATATCGAGCTCAAAAATTCCTTTTGTGTTTGTCTTGCTTGCTTATCGAGCCGAACACGAGCTATTCATGAATAATGAGCTACTTTGACAACCCTGATTACACAGTCGTAGAATGTTAAGAGTAGGACGATATTTAAATATTGATATTTATATTAAAATATTTATTTAAATAAAGTTTAATATATTTTTATTCTATTTTTAATTATTAATTTTAATTGATTTGAAATCATTGTAACATTGTAGTCAATTAAATTATTTAAAAATAATACGCATTATACACGCACACACACATGCACAAATATATTTAATTATTTCGAGCCAAAATGAGTCAAACACAAACGAATAAAATTTTGTTCATGTTTGACTCATTTATATATCTAGCGCAAAAAATATTGTTCGTGTTCAATTCATTTGCTTAGCGAACGAATCAAACGTGAGCTACTAAACGAGCCAAACACGAGCTGTTGGTGAACAATGAGCCGTTTTGATAGCCCTACAACCAACCAACACCTTTTCTCCTCTCTTTTCTTCTTGCTTCTATCTTAACCCAATCTCTCCTCCTCTCTTATCTTCCGTTAACAGAACGTCTGTTGAGGGAAGTTAAACTAGTGTTAAATTTTGTAAATAGTGAAGTTTTGGTGCTAAATATGTAAATGGGAGAGTTTTTTGTGCTAGGAATGTAAATCTCAGTTTAAAAAGTTGTCCCCATGAATGAGTAGCACATTATAGTCGAAGTGCTACTTAAAATATCTTCTAAAATTTGTTTCTTTTCTCTTTATTTGTTATATTGTTCTTCTACTCTTCATCATTTGTGTGTGCATGCATATAGTTATTGATAAATTAGAAGAGAACATTGATGAGTTCTGATGTTGTTTTTGGAGAAATAGAAAAATGGTGATTTGCAATTGTTAAACTTTTGTCTTGTGAGATTCCCCCCTGTAATTCTGATCTTATGCTTTTAATATTTAACCTCCTTTCATCCTTTAATTATGGTATTCACTTGCTGACTGTATCTTCTCTCTCTCTCTCTCTCTGTTCCTGTTTTTGCTTCATCCTTAGGTTTGCCTGAATCTAATGGTTACATTTATGTTGAAGCAAACGGTGGCTTGAATCAGCAACGCACATCGGTTATTCCTTTTCTTAAAATTTGTATATATTTCTTAGTTTTCTTTTCTTCATTATTTTATTCATTAAATATTTTAAATAGATTCAATGTATGATTTTTTGTTTTTTTTGTTTTTTTGTTTCTGTAGATATGCAATGCAGTGGCGGTGGCTGGCTACCTTAATGCTACGCTTGTAATCCCAAATTTCCACTATCACAGTATTTGGAGAGATCCTAGGTTTTTAAATATTGAATCATTGTTGAATCTTCTTCATTACCTTGTTCAATTTAAGCTTAATTTTCACATATGCTTATGAATTACAAAGTAGTTTTGTGAAACCTGTATCATTGATGCATCCTCGTCATTATCCATGTTCAGTTTAAACTTGATCTTCACATTTGCTAATGAATTCCTCATTGCTATTAATGGTGCTAGTCACCCTCTAAGTGATCGGCTTCTTAATATCCGATGCATCTGGCTTGCTCAACTTAAAGATGTTAAGCACTAAAAAATTATATAATTTACCTGGGAAGACATTTTTTAGATAGTATTATACAAAAATCACATAAGATGTTAACATATTAGCGAATAAAAGGTATATTTTTGAAGTTTGTGTTCTTCTAAATGTTAAAATGATAAAAACCTAGGTAGACCATCTAAAATAAAGTTCTTGCTAGGATCATGATACTGTTCTAGGCCTCCTGAAGGTATTTGAGTAGTGGATTTTGCAAGGAGGTAGTTGTCGAATAGCAAGGGAACAAAAATATGCGAGTTCGACACTGTTTGAAACAGATAGGCTTAGTTTGGTGGCTTTCCCCACTGAAAATAGCAAGAATCATGAAATGATGAGACACGAGCAGAAAATCGATTCACTACTTGTTCTTGAGCAAGATACATACACATCACTTGTAAAAGGAAATAATATAAGACTTTATTAGGATAGAAATCAAAGATTACAATATCCAAAACTCACAAACAAAGCAAAAGTTTCCGAAAGTAGAAAATAACAACACATAAAGTCTCTCATAGAAAAACCTTATCTGAAAGAAAGAAATAGGAAACAAATCATAATGGAAAGTAATTGGACTGAAATATGTAATGGAACGACAGTCCATTCGTAATCGACTTCTTGCGATCACGAGAATCCACTCTTCCCACTCGGGAACTCAATAGGGTTGCAAATTTCGTTGATTTTGATACGTGCCAGTCGATAACATAACTCCGACAGAGAGGGAATCATGTGAAGTCCCGCTTTAATATCCGAGAGAGAGGAATCGAAGAGCTGAAGAGGGGGAGGAGTAAGGGAAGGGGGAGGTCGAGGAGTCAGGAAATCGAAGAGGTGAAGCTGAAGGGGCCAGGAATGAAAGGGATGAATTCACTTTTTAAATCAGAGACAAGATCAATTTACCTGGAGAGTCGATGGTGCATACAAAAGTAGAAGGATCGACAAGCGCAAGTGAGGGCTTCCCTATAGCTGGAGGCAACGACGTAGACAGATGATGACATCTCTGTCAAGCACAGAGGAGGTGAAATTCAACGTTTGTTTTGGGCAGCTACAGCTTAACAACTTATTAGCTGCAGTTTAGCTATCTCAGAAAGCTGTTGTTGTGATAACTGTTTCTGGATAAATGACCATTCTACTTTCCCTTGTTTAGTAATAATTTTTATATTAGAACTGTCATAGTGATATATTTGATACTTCAGATGAAGAAATTCACATCTAAACAGTCAAAAATTTAGATACACTTCTTTCTTTAAAAATGAGCACCAAGAGTGCCAAAAAAAGTAAAAAAAATTACAATTAATATAATGATTATATTGTTCTTAACATGCAGACGGTGTATGTCTCATGCTACATCTACCTCTAGTGATTGCATCCATTCACGATTACCGTCGACAGTGGAATCTGCTGGATTGTTTGCCCACCAGAAGAAGCCACACTGCTCTGCGATGATCCGCAGGTAGCTGTAAAACTATCTTCCGTAGCTATGTGCCCGATGCGACGTCTGTAAAGAAGACTGTAGTCCGCAGTGACAGAGCATTCGTTCGGAGGTCCCTGAAATGATGGAGCTTATCTTTTTTGAATGATTAAAAAGTCAATCCATTAGTCATGACAGAAGTTGAAATTGCTAAAAAAAGTAATTAATTACAGTTTTTTCAGGCATGAGGTTTCAGAGAACTCAATATATCAACCATTGAATCAACCACTGCAAAAAGAACGATAGACCTTGTAAGAAAATGAGTTCTTGGTTGCCTTTAACCGACATAAAAGCAACCTACTGTGCGTCACATGTGCATAACACCAAAGAAGGTCATTTTAAAGAATCTCATAAACCGATACACCGAAAAGAAGAGGACTTGATTGTCTTCATTCAGATTTTACATGTAACGCTAACCAACAACGACCAACAAGTCATCCAGAAGAGCACATAAACGTCAAAAGTCTCATCATTGACCACTCAAACCCACAAAAAAAAAACAAAAAAACAAATGAGAAAAAAATCATACTTACAAATAGTGTAAAAAGTTCAAATCATAAATGTAAAATGTAAAGTACAAACTATTTTATATAAAATAAATATAGTACTGACTGTTCAATACATAATAGTAAATAAATTAGAAATATTCCTATCAGCCTCTAACTAATGCATCCGTTATCTGTTCCCTTAACTCCACCATTTTGCTTGTTCTTTCCCCCTCTCTAGTACATATAGTGGAAGGATTATTCTCAACTCGTGACAGAGAATTCTCAAGATGGTACTTAAATGCTGTGGGCGGTATATGCTCCTAATACTCGTCAGCCCTACGAAAGTCAATGTTGTTACGGGATGGATGCCGGCGAACACAAATGTTTAGGGTCATCATGGTAATCACAATATGCACCTGTTTGGGGAACCGGTAAGATGACATATCGTAGAGTATAACCCGTTTATTCTACAAACTCCGAAAGTTGTCTCGATAAGGGTCATCATGGTAATCACAATATGCACCTGTTTGGATATCAACACATAAGGAGCGTGTCTTTTATTAAATATCTCTTTTCTGCCACGTGCTACATTGTTAGCTCACTCGAAATCAGGTTAGTGATATCTCAAATCAGGATAGAGTTTGAGATACTCTCGTTGTAAGTGATATCTAACATCAACCAATGAATATTTATCTAAATGTAATAAATACTTATTATGATGGTTAAAGTGAAACACAAATGTATTTGGGGCTCGAGTGTACCTTCAGAGGGTGTGGGAAGTTGTAGTAGGGATTTCGTGTTGTTGCTTTGAAAATTCTACTGTCGTGTGTACTACCCTCTCAACCAGGCATGACATAAATAAAACACATGTTGAAATCACAAACATGCATGACATTCTGCATAGGGGCCTCACAACGCCAGATGAATGCGATCTTCTCATTGTTTGGAACCCGTGCATCAACGTGGGTTCCATCTCCAATGCAGTTTTACTCGAAGATGAACGAGTTTTAAAAGAACGACATACATTTTTAATATTGAATGGAATCACCATGAAATGTTACCTTAAAGAACGACATGTACCGTGCATCATATGCAATCTTCGTAGGAGTCTGTTCGAACAAAGGATTGGTAGGTTTAATAATCTGTGAAGACAAGCTCACAAGTGCTTCCAAACCAACTGAGGGGTATCTACTAATCGCTTCATATGAGTGCTAAAATTTTTTCATTGTGCCTCGCATTAATGCTATTCTGCCTTAAATGTGATATGTTCGTTCTATTTTAACGCTTTGTTCCTGATAACCCACATTTTTGTTGTTTTTATGGAGCTACGGAAGTTTCATACTCTTGGTTTCATTATTATTTGATAATTGTAATATTAAAATGGCATAACGCAATAATTGGTAACTGTAAAATAGACAGTGATAATTTGTCTTATTCGTTTAGTTGCAGCTAGTTCAATGGCATTGGTGATACACCTAATATGCCTTATTCATTTACTTTGCAGCAAGTTCAGCGATATTTATGATGAAGCCTATTTTATTACAAGTCTGCAAAGTGATGTACGGGTGGTTGATAAAATTCCAGAATATATAATGGAAAGGTTTGGTCATAATATGAGCAATGTTTACAACTTCAAGATAAAAGCTTGGTCTTCTATTCGCTATTACAAGGATGTTGTTCGTCCGAAGTTAATTGAAGAAAGGTGAGTTGGACATAGTGATCATCTTTCAGCTATTTTGGGATTCTTGTGCCATTTTCATTTCAGATATGTTCATCGTTTTATGAATGTCTTCCAAAGATGTTAGTGGATATAATTTTAAGATGCTTTTGGTTGTTCTAAACTAAATTAAACATTCACAAATGTATGTTGCTTCGTATGATGCATATTTCTTATGATTAACGGATGTGTAATACGAGCGAAGTTAAAAGAAAAAAATAAACAATCCAAAATCTTCCTAGTCCTTTTTTGCACCTCCTTTTTAGTTGTATATTTTTCCTGATGTTCAGTTTAGTTCTTTAACCATATTTGAATAAAAATGATCACCCTCATGTATATCCATAGTCCGGAATAAATGAGCGACTAAAATAGGCAGACTCAAAGATTTAGGAACCATTTAGCCATGTACTCTGAAAAGGTGTTGACTGGATGTATATAAAATATGTTGTGCTTGTTGTAGAAACTACTAATTGAACAATAGGTATCATGTTGAACGTACTAATTTAACAATAGGTATGAGACCGTGCAGTTTTGCTCTTACCTCCTTAGATGAGGTAAAGGGTTCAAATCGACCATCGCACACTACTCAAAAACAGGAGAATCAATTTATCTCAAGTTGCATCATGAACATGAATAAAGTTGAGATCACCTTTGAAGAAAGTCATATATTTAGTTGGTTGCACTTAAGATGATCCATTACCTTTGTTTTTCAACTTGTCAATCTAAACGAAATCAATCATTACAAAATCTTTTGGCCTGGGCTATAAAAAAGTTGAACTTGAGCGAGTTTATCTTATGCTTGTGTTTGGCTATTTCAAGTTTGTGTACATATGTTTGGCTATTTCAAGTTTGTGTATATATGTTTGGCTCATATTCGAAATTGTTTGTGATTGTTGTATTTGCATTTACTGTTCTGAATTCGAGCTAAACACAAGACAATTTCGAGTACGCGAGAATAACTTAATAAATAAGGAGCTAACATGATAAAATATTACAATCACTCTACTTATTTGCTAATCAACTAATAAATCTGAAAATAATACAAAATTAAACATGCACATGCAGACGTTGATGTGCACACGCACACACAAATTTACATAAATACATACATAACATGCCAAAAATGATAAATAAAAGATCTATTTGTGCTCAACTTGTTAAACAATGTGCTCAAGTAACTATTCAATATTAGTTTGCTTACTTAACAAACGAATTGAATACAATTTTCATAGAGAGCAAAACATAAGTTTGTTAACAAACTGAGTTTTTATATAGCTCTGCTTCTGAGTTAATGGTAAATTTCCATAGTATGTGTTATTATTTTGTGACATGAAAATGGCATTTCATGATAATAGATTTCTGCATGGATTTACTCGTATTGCATTAATTGTAAATTTTTGTCATAAGTGTTTTGTAACAGATTATTCATGAATGCATTAATTACATGAAACCATTTGCTTTATGGTTAATTCGGTTGCTCATAGTTGGAGACAAGGTTTTCAAGGTCGAATTCGGGAACTTAGGTTGGATTGATACATAAGTTTTAAACTAATAAAAAAATCATAAAATTAAAAATAATTTATATTTATTCCATAAACCATCAACATATTTGTTCAATTTGTCAACATAAATTACAAAATTACATATTAAAAAACAAAACATATCTCAAAGTTAAATATTAATCTAAAATGAAAGTGTGAAATAAGATTATGGTAAGTACTCACTTAAAGTTTGAGTACGCTTTGGGAACATAGATCATTAGTGGCTTCCTCGTCACTTCTAGTATTTTCTAAAGTGTCATATGTAAGAATTTGTCATCCTTTTGTTTAATTTAATAACATAACTAAATAATCCATTATAAGCTTTAAAAAATAGATAGAACTAGAAAATAAAAAAAATACTTAAAACATCAACGACATAAATTTAAAAATAGTAAAATTAAATTAAAAATAGTGTAAAAATTAATAAAAGGAAAAATTTTAAAAAATTCAAGAAAATAATGTCATTTTATCCTTTGCATAAAATAAAATAAAAAGGTACTTTAATCAGAGATGTCAAACAACAAGCTAATTTGCTGTTGCCGACTTGCTCTCCTTATATTTGTTTGAATTGAATATGATTTTCATGCTTTGAACTACTCTAGTTTCGTCTTTCATTCGAATATTAGTTGAATTTTCCTTCTTGCTCCATCTCTTGCATGCTCAGAGAGGTATCAGTGTTGACTACCAATGAATGATATATACATATAATATAAGATAGATTAATATTGTTTTATACTATCATATAACAAAATAATATACTCATTTGATGCACTCATCTCAAACGCTTTAAGAAAAGCATAAGGATTATTGAAGACACCGAGGCATAAGTATCGAGGTATTTTTTGTAAGCTTCTGGTCTTGGAATGTCTTGTAGCATATGCCTCAATAACTTTTTTAAACTATGGTTAGAAATTAAGTTCTACAAAACAATGTGGTTTGTTAAATCCATTTTATGCTTGGATGTGGTTGGAAACATTTGGATTTTAAATTTCATAAACCTCCTCAAAACTCCCTCAAAAATATTTTCATTGCCACACTGAAAAAGAGTGAAAAATGAAATCATCATTTTTTAAAGTACTAATATTTGCAAGCAACGAAGTGAGATCTTAGCTTTTTGTGACCAATTTTAATTTTTTGTACAGCGCTTGCTTTATATTTATAAGTGAAGGGTTGGGGACACCTCCCCACACTTCCATCTATTTTACCATTTATGACAGTAATATCAACAAAAAATCCAGTATAAATGCATATTAATTCAAGGCATTGATAAAACTAGCAACTCTACTATCAACGACTTGAAAATGTGCAAGGAATGGGCATATTTTTGGTTGATTATAACTGGAACATATTGACTACGTAACTGGCACATATTTTTGTTTTATTTTTCCATTTTCATTGGAATATCTCAATACAGGCTAAATGAATTTTAGTGTGTATCCATTTCCAATGCATATCTTAGTTGCATATTTTTTCTTTTGGCAGTTTATGTGCTTCCTTAGTTATAATGAACACAATAATCTATGACATGTTGATGGAAATTTGAAATCATACGCTTAGAACACACAAGCCGGTGATCATAATGAGTTTTACCTTAGTATTTTTTTCTTTTAGTATATTGTGTAAAACATGTCACCAGTGATGAGATCTAATATTAATGGGATATGCTCTTTAATTTTTTGAATTTTTTTGTTTGGTGATGTTCTTTAGTGCTTATGAGATTATTTTTGATACTAAGATTTTTAATATTATAAGTGCTTATGCTCCTCAAGTAGGTTCAGATATAAGTTCTAAAGTAAAATTCTAGAATGACTTAGAAGGCTGAATAAAAATGATACCTCTTGAAGAAAGAATTTTTATTGGAGAAGATTTAAATGGACATGTCGGTAGAGTGGTAGAAGATTTTAGAAATATTCATGTGGTTACGGTTTTGAAGTTAATGAAAAAGGTTAAGCTATATTAGATTTTGCTTTAGCTTATGCTTTTGTTATTGCTAATATTTTATTCAAAAAAAAAAGAGATGAATATATTATTACTTAGAAGAATAGATCTAATAAAACACAAATTGATTATTTTCTTATGAGAAGAAGAGATAATCGAGATTGTAAAGATTGTAAGGTCATTCCAAGTGAGGATTTAAGTACTCAACATCGATTATCAGCTCTAGATTTTAAGATGAAGAGTTGTAAATAAAATTTACTCGGAATCATCGTCGTAAAATTAGATGGGGATACCTAAAAGACAAGTAAAATTCAAGATTTCAAAATTTGGGATGTTCATGATGAAGCAAATTCTACGTGAAATAAAATAACAAACACTATTAAACTAGTGACAAAAGTTGTACTAGGAGAATTAAAAGAAAAAGTTTCTATAAATAAAAATAGGTGGTGGTGGAATAATAATGTGCAAAAAAGATAAAATATGAGAAGATATGTTATAAAAATTGGTTTAAATGTAAAAGTTTAGAGAATTGAAAAAAATATCAAACAGTCCGTAGGAAGTCTGAGCGAACAATTCGGGACACAAAAAAAATTGTTTTTAGTGATCATTATAATAGTTGAGGGTGCCTAAAAAACAAATAAAATTATTTATATGAGTAAAGTTCAAGATTTCAAAATTTGGGATGTTCATGAAGATGGGTGGGATGTTCATGAAGAAGCAAATTCTATGTGGAATAAAATAACACACTATTAAACTAGTGACAAAAGTTGTACTAGGAGAATTAAAAGAAAAAGTTTCTATAAATAAAAATAGGTGGTGGTAGAATAATAATGTGCAAAAAAAGATAAAATATAAGAAGATATGTTATAAAAATTGGTTTAAATGTAAAAGTTTTGATAATTGGAAAAAATATCAAATGGTCTGTCGGGAGTCTAAGAGAACAATTCGTGACGCTAAAAAATTCGTTTTTAGTGATCTTTATAATAGATTAAATACTACGGAGGGTGAAAAATATATGTATATACTAGTCAAACAAAGAGAAAAAAAAGTAAAGATTTAACTCAAGTAAAGTGTATTAAAGATGAAAATAGAAAAAAAGTGCTTTTCATAGAAAATGATATTCAAAATAGGTGGGTGGGTTATTTTGATAAACTTTTTAATGAAGTTTCGGAAAATACAATGGACTTTAGTGATTTTAATATCGTTAATAATAATTAAATGTTTCATTTTTGTGGCCGCATTAGTAAAAAAAAGTTAGGGAGGCTTTAAAGAAAACCAAGGGTTGAAAGTCTGGAGGACCTAATGATATCTCAATTGAAGTGTTGAAATATTTAGGAGATTTGGGAGTTGCTTGGCTTAGTAAACTCTTTAATATTATTTTAAAAACTGAAAAGATGCCCTAGGAGTGGAGGAAGAGTATTTTGGTCCCCATTTTTACGAATAAAGGGGATGCACAAAAGTGTGCAATTTATAGAGAAATTAATTTGATGTGTCATACTTTAAAATTATGGGAGAGGGTAATTGAACATAGGTTAATACTTGTTACAAAGATATCTCATAATCAATTTGGATTTATGTCTGGTAGGTGTGCTATGGAAGCTATACATTTATTGAGAGGTTTGATGGAGAAGTTCGGAGATAATAAGGAGGATCTACATATGATTTTTTTTGATTTAGAGAAAGCTTACGAAAATGTTTCAAGAGATGTCCTTTGAAGAGTTTTTGAGAAGAAAGGTGTTGATATGACTTATATTAAGTCATTAAAGATATGTGTACAAGGGCTGTTACTTGTGTTCGAACTGAAGGAGGATTGACCAAATATTTTCCTATTTCTGTTGGATTACATCAGTGGTTTACATTAGGGATTTACATTAGGGATTGGCTTTAAGCCCATATCTTCTTGCTTTAGTTATGAATGGTCTTACTTGGCACTTGCAAGAGGATGTTCAGCGGTGTATGCTTTTTGCTGATGATATCCTTCTTGTGGATGAGATGAGAGAAAAAACTAAAAAAAACTTGAATTATGGAGGTTTGCCTTGGAGTTTAAAGGCTTCGTTTGAGTAGAACTAAAACTAAATACATAAAATGTAAATTTTAGTAGTAGTAGTTCTAGTGACAAAAATGTAACTATGGGTGATCAAATTATTAAAAGGTTTGAAAGCTTTAGATATCTCGGGTTTAGTGGTCAAAGTGACGGTGATGTTGATGGGGATGTTATTAGTAGAATTCAAGTTGGTTTGTTGAAGTGATAGAAAAGTACGACTTAGACTAAAAGAAATGATTAGGTGGATGAGTGGCTTTACACTTAGAGACAAAATGTGAAATGAATATATTCGTGATTGGGTTGGTGTAGCTCCAGTGATGGCTAAAACTAGAGAGAGTCATCTTAGATGGTTTGGTCACATTAAACGTTGACCATCTTATGATCCGATTAGAAGAGTAGACGTTTTAGATTTGACTTATGTTAAGAAAGGAAAAGGTAGATCTAGGAAGACTTGGGCATATTGTTTATAAAATAGTTTTAATTTATTAAAATTAATTGAAAATATGACACTAATTAGGACACAATGGAGAAAAAAGATTCATGTAGCCGATCCCACTTATGGGATAAAGGTTTTGTTGTTGTTGTTGTTGTTGTGGTGATGTCCATTAGTACAAGATTTTAAATCAGGTCGTTCAATTTTAGGTTAACATATATAGAGTTTAGATTCAATTCTACAATTTCTAAAATAGAAATGAGAATAGTTAGAAGGATACCTGATGTTGTATCATTGCACCATGCTATTTGTGTCCCTGCTATACTACTCATTGTCTCTTTTGAGCATTTTTTCCTAGCATGTACGGTCTATTGCTCCTGTTGTTTTCTCCTTATATTCTTCCTTCTTCCATTTTTGGTTTCTTGTTCATGTTGCTCATCCGATTCTGGTTATGCACCCCCTATGGTTTGGTACTACCCGCTCTACTATTTCTTGCTACTATTATGGTGTTGCCTCTACTAGCCTGCCATTCCCACTACTTGCCTCTAATACTTGCTAACATTGTCGCCTCTTGCCGCTTTCCTTCTACTGTCTCAATTCTTTATTTCTTGTATCCACTTTAGTGCCTTCGCCTGCTGTGATCTTGGCTTAGTTGGCTCTTTGTTGACATTATTCATTCTTCTTTTCCAAGTTTTCTTGCAAGTAGATTTTGAATTGGATTTTACAAATCAAGATAGGAACTTTGAAAGATTTTAAGGTGGAATTCATGAAGGATGTATCGAAACTTGTCGTATTTTTATATATCTTAGTAGATTATGGAATGATTCTCATTTTGACCTCTTTTTGGGCAATCAATAGGACTGACTCATTGGCATGGAAAAATCAGTAAATTTGAGTACAATAAGAGTTATAGTTTTCTCTATTTTTTTGTGTACGTGCTGGTTTAGGATATATTCTTTGAGGGCTTTGTAGGTGTTGAGAATTGTTTTTGAGGACTAGTTTCTCAGTATTAGCATGATGTCTGGTTCTTCTTTATGGCGGTTTCTATCCTCAACTTATTATAATTTATTTTTTTGTTTGTGTTTGTAATTTTTTCAGGTATGATACATGCTAGATTCTTTTGTTAGCATGAAACTTAGGGTATGTTTGGGGCAGCGACAATTGTTTGAAGAACCAAATGTGAAGCTGCTGTAGAAGTTATTGATAAAAAATTTGCGGTGATTGTTACAAATTTTTTTGGTTTTAGAAAAAAGTCAGGCCACAGCTTTTTAGCATTCAAAGCCACCGCACTTAACTAGATCTGATGGCAAAATGCAGCTTTCAATAAAAAAAATAATTTTTTGCCAAACAGAAAAAATTGTAGTGAAATCTTACGTTTTGCTAGCTATTTTTGGTACGGTGCTTCGGATTTTAGCAATTAATTAGTTAACTATTATTTTGACTTAAAGATACATGTTTGTTGTTTTTACATTAGTAGTGATTTATTTTGGCTAAAATTAAGAATTTATTTTTTAGAAATTGTACATTTTTTTTTTTGTTTTGTGCATAAAATCTTTTGTTGTATTACCCTGATTCCTTAATCATTCTACATCACATGGTCATTGCGATGCGAGTTCTTGGAAATTAACAGGGTGGATCAAGTTAAATCTATCTAGGTTTTTGGGGGGACATGGGGATATTTATTTGTGATTTTTGGTTAATGGAGAATGTTTTTTTCCTCAGCAGAATGCATGTTTATACGCTTCAGCATATATATATATATATATATTGCGGGTGTTTCTTTTCTGTGCTGATTTTTCAAGCATCATTTTTTCCATTGATTAATCAGGTTTATAAGGATTTCTCCTTTTGCGAATCGGCTGTCATTTGATGTTCCACCTGCAGTTCAAAGACTTAGGTGCTTGGCAAATTTTGTAGCCTTAAGGTTTTCAAATCCCATTGCAAATTTGGCTGAAAAGCTTGTTTCTCGAATGAGAGAAAGGAGCATAGATAATGGTGGAAAGTACATTGCAGTTCATCTGCGCTTTGAAGAGGTATGCTTCTATATGCCAGAGCTTGAACCCTGGAGTTTGTCACGATAATTGTGCACAGAAGCTATTATTTGAAAGGCAATATTAAATTGGATATGAATTTTTTTTCTGTAGGATATGGTTGCTTTCTCGTGTTGTGTTTTTGATGGCGGAGAGGAGGAGAGGCAAGACATGATTGCGGAAAGAGGTTGGAGAGGAAAGTTTACAAAACCTGGTCGGGTTATTCGACCTGGTGTTATTAGAACAAACGGAAAATGCCCCCTCACACCCTTAGAAGTACGTTTTATTCATTCAGGATTACAGGCAATCATTTTTTTAAATATAAACTATTATGATATTTAGTTGCCTAGATTGCATACTTATTCTTGCACTTTGGATGATTTGTTTATTCCCAATGCCTTATTGAATGTAGTATGGATATTGGAATCAATCTGCTGCTTCCAATCCCTTGATGTGGATGCCTTGTTGGTCTAATAATTCAAAAGGTCTTACTAAGAGCAATACTTTGAGATGAAATATTTACCCGGAAAATGAAATTACATAAAATTTAGTTGAGAAACTGTTATTGTCTATAATGTCTTCAATACCTTTGACAAGCTCATTCATGTGTCATACATATATGATCAAAGTGTATTGAACTTTTTCTTTAGAATATTACTCGATTGAACATGCACAACAAATATCACTTACATATGGGTGGTTTGGCATGAACCGCTTTCCAAATTTGTTGTAAAATGTTGACCGTCATAAGTAACCACTAGTTCGATCTGGTCAAATATGACGATATGACATAAAAAGGATGTGATTTCATGAGAAATCAACAATACTTGTTTTGAATTCATTGCTTATTTACTAAATGGATAGTCACAAAGTTCTTGAAACATTGAAATGGTTTATAAATGCCCTTGTATTGCCCGAGCTGTGACATGATGAAAAGATCTGAATTAGCTACAGAGGATTTTCTCGGAATTTGCACATGAACACATGTTTAATGTATAATATTAATAATAATAATTGTGGAATTTTGAGGTTTATTTTCAGGAACAATCTTCCTTGCAGACCGCCGCTAGCTAGCTCATAGAACGTCCTTCGACAACCCTACTGGACCTTCCCAAGCAGACAGAGGAGCCATTTCTTCCACCCATCCATTGCTCAAGCAGGCAGTAGCTGTTAATTCGTTTACAAACCTAAATGTGCCTTGGTCTTGTGACAAGGTACGAAACGATGATGTTTAGCTTTATGGAGATTAGTTCTGAATCAACGACTAGAAATTTTGCCCAAACTTCCCCGAAACTCTCACTTTATCGCAAATCATAAACTCAATGGCCATAACTTTCTTCAATGATCTCAATCTGTGTTTATATATATTTTTGGAAATGAAAAATGTGAATTTCTCTTGGGAGAGGGTTCAGTTCCCGAGTTCAGTGATCCTAACCATCGCTCGTGGAAGATCTAGGATCGTATGATCATGTCTTGATTGATCAATTTTATGACAACAAAGATTGGAGAAAATTTATTGCTTTATAAGGTAGCACAGGTAATTTAGGAGGCAACTTGTTAGACTTATGAAAATTTTGCAGAATTGTTTGAGATTGAGAATTCTACGTGAACACCAACAAGAAGAGTGAAGTGTGATTCAATACTTCAACACACTTATAATGCTCTAGTTACAGTTAAATATTTATGATACTTATGCTTGAAAGTGACCTCAAGATGTTATGTTGTATAAAATAATAACGGAGAAGAAGAGTATGATCAAGTTTTTATTGGGTCTAAATAAGAACTTAGTTGAGATCATAAGAGGAATCAAGGGGATGAAGCCTCTCCTTATCACTAGAGAAGCCTTTCTAAAGTTAGAAAAGAAAGTAGGAAGAAGCTTATGATGGGAAGAAGTTTGAATTCATCTAGAACTGAAAATTCTGCCTTGGACACAACTTCTCCTATGTGTCAAAGTGAAAGATGAATCATTCCTTGTGTGAACATTGTAGGAAACTTTGTTACACAAATAACAAATGCTGGAAACTACATGAAAAAACCTGCAGATTGAAAATCGGGAAAAGGGAGGAAAGACTAAGACAACAAGGCCCTTACTTCTACTGCTTTTGAATGGTCGACAACCCTATTCCCTTCACCAAGGAACTACCGGAGATTTTGAAGAAATTTCTTTCGAGCATAGAATGGCCAACCAGCTTGATGATACACCAAATGTATCATGTGCTTTTCCTATCTTATTAATAATGGAAGATTTCAACCTTGAATAATAGATTCATATGCTTCTGATCATATTACTGGAGATATTCATGTTCTGGCGCTTAGGTGCCTAGTAAGCTGGCTGAGCGCCTTGGCACCCAAAGGCTGGCGCCTAGGCGCCAGTCAGTTGGTTCCACTATGCTCAATTTTGCCTTGGCTTCACTCTATTTTAGCTCCTCTTCACATCAAATATCTTACCTGTTGTACCTGCAATTAAATCACAAAAATACTTATGTTTAAAATGCAATCTCATTCATAGACATGTGTAAAATATAAAGAAAATTAAGCATGCTTTAGGACATATCAATAACTCACCCTCCTATTTTGAATATCTTTTTCTAAAAAAATATTTTTTGAGTTTAATCTTTAATACATTTTATTTAAGTTAAATCTTTTTTTCTATTTGGCTTGCTAGTTTATACATATATTTTTCACCCTTCTTAGTATCTAATCTATTATAAAGATCATTAAAAACATAAATTTTAGCATCACAGATTGTTCTCTTAGACTCTCTACGAGCCGTTTGATATTTTTTCGAGTTCTCTAAGGTTTACATTTAAACCAATTTTTATAACATAATTTTTTATATTTTATCATTTCTTGCACATTATTCCACCACCAATTATGTTTAGTTATAGAAACTTTTTTCTTTTGATTCATTGAAGAAAATTAATTAAAACAAAATTTACCTTGTGTAGTAATAAATGCCTGTTTTCTACATCAGTCGGAAGCATTTTATCTGGTGATAACCGAAGTAAACTTTGAGGAATCTCATTACTGAGTATCTTACCGCTGTCCACCAAGATGTCAATCTCTAGCACGGGGTAGGTGTTTTTCGGACATGCGGCGTTGTGATTGATGAAGTCGACGCACATCAGTCACTTTCCGTTGGCTTTCTTGACCATCACCATGTTTTGGAGCCAAGTTGGGTACTGGACTTCACGGACATAACCGACGTCCAACAACTTTTGTACCTTCGCTGTTATCAGTTTGACCAAAGTTCCAGCAGTCGTCCGAATCTTCTGCTGGACCAACCAAAAGTAGGGGCTGATGTTCAGGCGTTGGTACGTTACGTCGACTGAGATGCTGAACATTTAAGCCACGGTTAAAACAAACACCTTCCGGTGCTCTCGAAAGGTTCGTATAAGATGTTTTGTGATTCCTGCATCGAAATGCTCACTGATTAGGAAGATCATACCGGGTTCTTTGTCGAACACTGGCACTTGGAGGATGGTTTCACTGGTCTCGAGACTCCACTCTCTCTGGATTTGGATATCGAGTTGTTCATGGTCAATATTAGAAACTGCTCGTAAATAGTAGCTTCTAGATTACTCCATGTTCTTCTGGACCGTAATCTCCTCCCCGACACCAGGAAACTTTATGGCCACATGGTAGGAGGAAGTCACTGCTCGGTGGCTTTTCAGGATTGACCGACCAAATATAACAATGAAGTTTGGCGGGGATTCTATATGAGAAAATCCTCCGTGCTGGTATATTTCTTCTCGGCTTCTCCCCAAGCGATGGCTAGGGCGATGAGGCCTAATGTCTCCTTCCTTTACCCGGAGAATTCGAACAACCGACCGTCCAGTGCTGTCAATCGTTCAAGCCGATCTTAACAAAAACCTTTTTAAATAGGATATTCACCGAACTCCTTGTATCAACAAGAATGCTACCAACTAAGTAGTTGTTGATTAGTGTTGTGACGACGATCGCCTCATTTTAGGGGTTCCCCTTCGGTGGGAGATCTGCATATGTTAAGGTATTGGTAAATGGTCACGTGTATACAGGACGATAGAGCATACCTCCCCCGAACGTTATCTCTTCATGCCGGATGGTCGGGGTCCTCCCTCGAAGACGACCGGGATTATCCTTGCTACATGGACCTCATTTGCTTGGACAACTTCGTTTGAGGGTTCTCCTACTGGAGCTTTGCTCTGCCACTGTGTGTGTGCCCTGACTGCAACAAACATTTTGAACTTTTCTGCGCAGATGAGTTCCTCAATCAGATTTTGAAGGTGACGACTTTCCTCTGTGTCGTCACCGTTGTCACGGTGGTACTGGCTGTTTTCTTCGGATCTCATAAGGCCGGGGTGGCTTTCAGTGGCGGGGTCGGTTTGAAGTAATCTTTGTTTTGGATGACATGGACTATTTCAGCTATTGAAACGTTGAGGGGTGTCAAACTCTGCATTTCCAAGTAAACATGCGGCCGCTCGTAATATTGACCCGATCATTGATCAGAGCGCCGCTTCCGGTCATGGTGTTCTGGAAGCGTGTGATGCAAGCCTGTAGGCTCTCGATTTTTCACTGTTTGTGGCCGAGCAGGTTGCCCGAGCCTTCCCTTGACATTTGAATCTTTGAGAAGTGTGAAACAAAGTGTCTTTTAAATTCATAGTATCTTGGGATTGTTTTGGTCGGTAGACCGTTGAACCACCAGAGGGCCTACTCCTTCAAGGTGGTTATGAAAATACGATACATTATGGGGTCGTCAATCTGGAGTAGATCGACTGATGAATCAAATTACTTACGTGGTCAATCAGGTTGGTCCTTCCTTTGTAGGAATCCAGGCGAGGGATCCTTAGCTTGGGCAGGATACCACCTCTTTGATTTGGCGAGTTAAAGCCCCTCCTGCGAGCGGCCTAACATGCACTCGCATTGGCTTTTCCCATCGCCCGTTCGCCTGTGCAGACACGGCTGTGTTAGTGTACTGGGACTCGTCGTGCCCCTCTGTCCGTTGGTTACTGACTTGGTTGTTTAGAATAGGCGGGTTCTCCAGTGGGCCCCTTTGGAGACGGACTCCCTGAGGTTCCGCTTCTAGACAAGGCTTTTGGTTGTTCCTTTAGGTCATTGCTGCCTAGAGGGCCAGAGGACCTCGAATTGCTCCATCATGAGAGTTATTTGGGTTTGTAGGCTTTAGACCTCTGCATGGACGTCTGGTTGCGTAGCATCTCTACTGGGTCCCATGCTTGTTTTCTCTCTTTGAGAGGTTTCTCTGTCATAGTATTTTCCCTTTCTTGTTTGTGGCATGATCCACACTCTCCGCACCACCTTTTAGGATGTTGAATCGTAAAGTCCTTTGTGAACACACCCTGAGAGTGAGAACCTGACGAAGGAGGAAAAGGAAAAAATAGTAAAATAAGTTTAGAATTCACTGTAGAGAGAATCAAGAAAGCTCATTTTATTCGTATTTTTGCCTTCTATTTATAGAGACAAATTTTCTACAATTACAGAAAGGAGGAAGCAATTATGAAAACCGCTC